TGCTGGGCATGGGGGGGGGGTGCTGAGGGGAGGTAGAGGTCGCACTGGGGGACATGGGAGATTGGCACCATGTGTGGAAGAAGAGGTGGGGACGGAGGGGTCTGGCACTGTGTGTGGGGGCGGGGCACGTTGGTTGCCAGCTGTACATGGGGGTACAGAGTGGTGGAGATTGGGGTGCAGTGAGATGGGAGGCCTGTGATGGGGGGCATCCTTGGGAGACAAAAGCACCATGTGACCAGAGGGGGATGGTGGGTGCTGGGGCCATGTGGGGCCTTCACAGGGGCAGCAGGGAGGGGGATGGTGCTGAGGGGCATGCTGGGAAACTGGGTCCTGGATGGGAGCTGGGGCTGGGGGTGGGACGGGAGGGCAGAATTTGGCAGCTACTTTCCCACTTAGTCTCAATTTTCTCTCCTGCTCCTCTCCTAGGGGCTGACGTGTGCACCGAATTCATCGAGCCTCAGCCCAGGTGCCACCATGGCCTCCCAGCCACACCCCCTGTGCCCTCCGCCTCTCTGCCCTACTGCCAACGGTGGCATGGGGACCGGAGCTGGGCAACTGGTGGGCAGCCCTGAGACAGGTATGTGCTGTGGGGCGGGGAAAAGTAGAGAGGGGCTGGGATGTGGCTAGCAGAGCTGGGGCACAGGTTGCGGCATCATGCCTGGGAGTGGGGAGGGGGACCTTCCCCCCCCCGGGGGGGCTCCAGCTCCAATCCTGCCCCAGAGCAAGGGGCAGGCTGGTTGTAGGGGGCAGGGAATGGCACTTTTCCCTTTTAGGGGGTGTCAGCTCTGACCTTCTCCAGGGTGGCTCCGGGGGTGGGAGATGGGCCACACGCCCAGCTGCTTTTCAGTGATCCATCTGTGAGACGAATTTGAAGGTCTCAGCTGGCAGCACCATCACAGCTCCCCGCAGGACAGCATCTGTCAGTGCAGGCTCTGGCGAGCCATCCCCAGTGTCTGAGGGGTGGGGGGCCTGGGCCGACAGGCTGTCCCTCCTGGGGGGCTGGCCAGGACAGTCCCAGCTGGGGGGGGGGGCAGGGTGCTGTTGGTGCTTTTCTGCCATGTGGGTGGGCTCTGAGAGGGTCTCTTTCTCCCCCCGCCCAGGTGATGCTGTCCTGAAGCCGCCAGTCAGGCCCAAACCTCGCACACTGCCCAAACCGACTATACCAGCCAAGCCCTGCGCCCCGCCACCGTCCCCTGGGTCACGGGCCCCCCGCCTTGATTTCCCCTCTGCCGAGAAGATCACCCTGCTGGCGGGTCCCAAGCCGTACAGTGGCAGCAACACCACCCATAAACGCCTGTCCTTTAGCCTCAGAGCCCCCCAGCGGAGACTTCCAATGGGAAGGGGCTCTCCCCCCCGGAAGCCAAAACCCCGCCTAGTGGCAAGGAAGACGGCTCTCCGGCTCCTGTGACGCCCCCTGCTGGGGGGCCATCGGGAGCCCTCAAGGGTGCTGCTCCCTTCAAGGTGAAGCCGGTGCCGGTGGCGGCCAAGCCGGAGCGCTTCCCTGGCACCACAGTGGAAGAGATCCTGGCGAAGATGGAGCGCCCCCGCAAAGAGGGGCTGCGCTCAACCTTCAGCTCTGATGCTGGCTCCTGCTTTGGGCCCAAAGGCTTTGTCGCCTTCCGGAGGCAACCTAGTGCCGAGGGAGGGGACGGTGGCACCGTCACCCTCGGCTGCCAGGCCCCCCGGGAATTGGGGCTCCCTGAAGCTCAGGAGAGCGGAGCGCCCTGCAGGGATGAGCCGGTCGCCGGCGGGAAGAAGAGGGATGGAAGCCCGTACCCCAGTGGACAATGCCTGCCAGAACCCCCAGACAGAGAAGCACAGACACACCCTGGCTCAGCCTCCAGGGAGAGGTGAGGGGCAGATATGCAGTAGTGGGGCTTGCAGGGCAGTGTGGGTTATGGCCTTGTCTGTTCCATGTTTGGGGGGAGTGGACAGGGTGTGTTGCACTGCATTGTGGGTGAGAATCTGGCAAAGTGGTAGGATCCGGTGCCAAGTCTTCCCCTGGGAGTGGAGAGGAAGTTAGAAAAGAGTTTATTACCTGGTGCTTCCTGGATGGGGAGAAGAATCCTAGAAGTCTCCAGACAGCTCTTTGGCACTTCTATAAAATCGCCCCTGAAGTCAGATGGATGCAGCTCTGCATATAGACAAGCCCTTAACATGTAACGTAGAGTTTGCCTGTGGAACTCCTTGCCGCAGGATGATGCCACAAAAATGGCACGATTCACAGAAGGAATGGGGGATGGATAACTGCAACACATACACTAGCCCGTGGTTTATTTTCAGCCAATTAGGAATGCAGTTGAGCTAAACCGAAAAAAGCCCCTAAGGGCCCACGTGGCAGGACTCCGTGCTTGGTTTAATTGAGCGTAGGTGAGCCCCAAATGATGTGCTGGATACTACCCCGCCGCGATTTCTCTCTCCCTCAGCGGCTCCTCCCCGGCCGGTGCCAGCTGTGATGGGGACCAGTCCGGACGCAGGAGGCCGCCGTCTCCCCCTGGCGTGAGTTCTCGGCTCGCCCTCTGCAGCGCGGCGGCTGCGCTGCTCCGTGCGCTCCTTCCGGGCTCTCCTGTCTCCTCCTGGGCTCCCTCTCTCTGGGGTGCGTGTCTCCGCTCCATTCTCTGCCAGCCCCTGGGCGCCAGCGTCTGCAGCTCTTCCAGGAAGTGAGGCCGTGGGAACCCAGGTGGCCTGCAGGGTGCCATGAGTCCCTGGGTCCTTTGCAGGGGACGGGAGCCATCAGGACCCCAAGATAGGCCTGCCGGTGGGGAGGGGGGAACATGGAACAAAGGGGGCCACTGCCCTAGGGCCCAGCAATTCTAAAGGGCCTAGCAGTGGCAGCAGCTACCAGAGCCCCAGACCCTTTAAATTGTCACCAGAGCCCCCACGGTGCACTCTGGGCAGCGCTGAGGGCTGGGAGGGAGGGGGCAGCGTGGAGTGCTCTGGGTAGTGCTGAAGGCTGGCTGCCTGGCCCCGCCCCTTCCACCCAAGGCCCCGCCCCTTCTGGGCACGCATAGCTGTCCCCCTCCTCCCCTTGCCCAGGGGCACAGTGTGGCTCCCCTGACCCAGGACACGGTTCCTCTGCCCACAGGCTCCTAGGCCAGTGCTGTGTTATCTTGCCCAGCCCTGGGGAGTGGGGTGGACCCCGGAGAGCAGGCTGGCCCGAAGGGGGTGGGGGCGGCTGCCCTGGCTCCCTGGCCCTGGGAGCCCGGCGCTTGCTCCCCATGCCCAGGTGGGAGCAGCCCTGACTCACCGCGTTGGGCTCGCTGACCTCGCAGGGACGCGGCAGG